GAGGCAGTGCAGCTGCTGGGCCGAGAGCCTCAGCGGAGCGCGCGGAGCCGCGCCGGCCTGTCGTTGCTGGGCTACTGCTACTACCGCCTGCAGGAGTTCGGGCTGGCGGCCGAGTGCTATGAGCAGCTGGGCCAGCTGCACCCGGAACTCGAGCAGTACCGCCTGTACCAGGCCCAGGCCCTGTACAAGGCCTGCCTTTATCCGGAGGCCAACCGGGTCGCCTTCCTTCTCCTGGATAACCCCGCCTACCACAGCCGGGTCCTCCGCCTGCAAGCTGCCATCAAATACAGCGAGGGCGATCTACCAGGGTCCAGGAGCCTGGTGGAGCAGCTGCTGAGTGGGGAAGGGGGTGAAGATAGTGGAGTCGAGAATGAGACAGATGGCCAGGTCAACCTGGGTTGTTTGCTCTACAAGGAGGGACAGTATGAAGCTGCGTGCTCCAAGTTTTTTGCGGCCCTGCAGGCCTCGGGCTACCAACCTGACCTCTCCTACAACCTGGCTTTGGCTTATTACAGCAGCCGGCAGTATGCCTCAGCGCTGAAGCATATCGCTGAGATTATTGAGCGTGGCATCCGCCAGCATCCTGAGCTAGGTGTGGGCATGACCACTGAGGGCATTGATGTTCGCAGTGTTGGCAACACCTTAGTCCTCCACCAGACTGCTTTGGTGGAAGCCTTCAACCTTAAGGCAGCCATAGAATACCAGTTGAGAAACTGTGAGGCAGCTCAAGAAGCCCTCACTGACATGCCACCCAGGGCAGAGGAAGAGTTGGACCCTGTGACTCTGCACAACCAGGCACTAATGAACATGGATGCCAGGCCTACAGAAGGGTTTGAAAAGCTACAGTTTTTGCTCCAGCAGAATCCCTTTCCCCCAGAGACTTTTGGCAACCTGTTGCTGCTCTACTGTAAATACGAGTATTTTGACCTTGCAGCAGATGTCCTGGCAGAAAATGCCCATTTGACTTATAAGTTCCTCACACCCTATCTCTATGACTTCTTGGATGCCATGATCACTTGCCAGACAGCTCCTGAAGAGGCTTTCCTTAAGCTTGATGGGCTAGCAGGGATGCTGACTGAGGTCCTCCGGAAACTCACCATACAAGTACAGGAAGCAAGACACAATAGAGATGATGAAGCTGTCAAAAAGGCAGTGAATGAATATGATGAAACCCTGGAGAAGTATATTCCCGTGTTGATGGCTCAGGCAAAAATCTACTGGAACCTTGAAAATTATGCAATGGTGGAGAAGATCTTCCGCAAATCTGTGGAATTCTGTAATGACCATGATGTGTGGAAGCTGAATGTGGCTCACGTTCTGTTCATGCAGGAAAACAAATACAGAGAAGCCATTGGTTTCTATGAACCCATAGTTAAGAAGCATTATGATAACATTCTGAGTGTCAGTGCTATCGTACTGGCTAATCTCTGTGTTTCCTATATTATGACAAGTCAAAATGAAGAAGCAGAGGAGTTGATGAGGAAGATTGAAAAGGAGGAAGAGCAGCTCTCTTATGATGACCCAGATAAGAAAATGTACCATCTCTGCATTGTGAATTTGGTGATAGGAACTCTTTATTGCGCCAAAGGAAACTATGAGTTTGGTATTTCTCGAGTTATCAAAAGTTTGGAGCCTTATAATAAAAAACTGGGAACAGATACCTGGTATTATGCCAAAAGATGCTTCCTGTCCCTGTTAGAAAACATGTCAAAACACACAATGATGGTTCATGACAATGTTATTCAAGAATGTGTCCAGTTTCTAGAACACTGTGAACTTCATGGCAGAAACATACCTGCTGTTATTGAGCAACCCCTGGAAGAAGAAAGAATGCATGTTGGAAAGAATACAGTCACATATGAGTCTAGGCAGTTAAAAGCTTTGATTTGTGAGATTATAGGATGGAATATATAGTAATAGCTGATAATGGCATTTATCAAATGGTTTATTATGTAAATTTGCATTGCTTTAACTTTTGGCATCTTTATATTTGTTACATGTTGAGCTTTGTACATTTACACATTATAAAAAAAATAAGCAGCTAAAACTTTTGCTGCTGATAAATTTCCCACAAAGTGAATATTCTAAGAACTTTTACCCCAGAAGGAGTTAGGAAAAATTCCAAACTTAGGAGAGATGTTTCTATCAGAAGTTGTAATGACTTTGTTTCCTTTGTTATCTTTTGTGCTCTGATGTAGCTTGAGGGGCCTTTGCACAAGGATTACCTCTTTCAGGGGCCAAGCAGTATCTCAGTAGTAGTTAAGAGCAGTCTTTAATCATTTCAGGGATTGTGTGTTCTATTCTGGCAATTTACTCTCACATTAATTTGTAATGCATGCTTTTTATATAGACTTTAGGATATTTTGGCAGTGTTTTCTATTATGGATATAATGCTTTACCTAATCAAAATTCCTTAGGTTGTAAGTGTTTATTTTTTTAACAAGCAAAAGTCAGTAAAAAATTTTGTTGCCTTAACAAAATTATGGTGCTATAATGTAGAGACAATGAACAATTATCAAAGAACAATTTTCCCTGGTTTTCTTTTGCTCCCTTTAATACATATATGAACAAAATACACTGTTACTATTTTCCATAATAACTTTTAAAATATTTATCTCTGTGACAAATAACAGAGGTATCCTGAGAATTCAGGGGTTTGGTTGTTTGTTTAAGAGACAGAGGTTTTATTATGGTTGGTGCCCAGGCTGGTATCTAACTCCTGCACTTAAGCAATACTCCCACTTCAGCTTCCCAAGTAGCTTGGGACTACTGGCACAAATCACTGGGTCCAGCTAGAACTCACTTCTTAATTCCTACCTTTGTGTTTGCAGTTTAGGATATGCTGGATATACAGTGTTTCCATGTTGTAACCTCTTGGATAAGGAAAAAATCTTGGCCACCAGGCCTGGCCAAAAATGTCAATTCTGAGTTGTAACATTCATTTCATGTCCACAACTCCCAATGGTTTTTTGGAGTTCCCACTGGGAACCACATAAATTCTGATCAGGCGTTTTATTTTCTGAACCTAAGAAGAGCTTTACTATTTGATTTCCCACTCCTCACTTCTCTCGCTCCACAAAAGGTAACTGTCAACCCTAATTTGACCTGGCTTAGAAAAATCAAGAGAATTAGATTGAATCATATGAAATTATTGATTTTGACAGTTTTTGATGTACACAACCAGCAGTTTCTTATGGCTCAAACTAGTAGCTTTCTTCTGAATGGTAGAGAACTTCTGCCATAACGAGATGATTTTTTTCCTTCAAGGAAAAGGAACCACTTAGCCACATAGGTACTGATAAGAAACGTGCTCAACATAACTCTTCTGTAGCATGACCTCCTGAGTGTTCAAATTGTATTATACCAGGAAATTTGGCCTCTTGTGAAGTTCAATCATTTTGAATTTATGGCATTTTAAATCTTAATTATCTGAGCTGCTATCATTTACCACTGATGCTTTAGTCTCAGTGGAGGACAAGCTTTGGAGGACAAGCAATGTTTAGTCACCTCTTCACTGTATCCCATAGCACATTCCATGTCTGGGAGATGTTCTTTGTTTAACAACTTCTGTACTAAAAGTGTTGCTGCATTTCAGCCCCTGTCAATCTTGGTAGCCCCTTAAGATTTAGAAAGTAAATGAACTGAAATCTTGTTTTCAATAGCCATATTAAAATTGTTTTTTTTTTTTTTTTTTTCCTATTTCTTCTAAACCACACTATTTTCTTTAGGGGAAAAAAAGGCATAAGTGTAACTAATGTTAACCAACCAAAAACAAATGTTTTCCAGATTTCCTTCTGCAAATAGCCTGGTCTTTATTTGGCCACAGTTTGTTTACCCAGGTGCTATGTGTTTGTGGTTTTCATGTATGTGTAATTTAACTTTTCAGAACATAAAGCTTTTCAGAATGGTTTTTAACCACTTGTTGCTGGGCAATTGGGATTTCCTGGTTAGTAATCTATAAGGAAATCCTGACTGCTCCCACCACCATTCATGATTCCCACCATGAATCATGACATTTGTCCCCTTCTTTACCCTGGCTCTCAGAGAAGCACCCACCCAGATTCAGATTGCTGCTGGCGACAATGAGGTCTTATGAACCGCACAGAGTCAGAAGTCTGGTGCTGAAGCCTGGGAAGACAGGGCATTCCTAGCTCCCCTGGCACTCGTTGCCCTTATTTTCAGGATATATATCTTTAAAACTCAAAGTACCCTGCTTTGCTTTTTGATTCTAAAAAGCAAATGACTTGACAATGACCCCATATTTTGCCATTTGAGTGAAAGCTTCTGTACCTAAAACTCGAATGAAAAGCTTTGTTCTGTGCTCCTAGAGTATATATATTAAGTGCTAAAAGTACTTTTCTTGACAAGGAGTTCCTTATAGAAATATAAGGAATCTTTTAAGATTTCATCATAATACCTGCATAGTCTATTTTAAAGGAATCAAATATTATTTCATCTTAGCCCCTTGATCTCCACATGGGCACACATAAAATAGGAGCATGTGCTTATACACAAGTAGTTGTATTTGTTTTCTCAGGAACAAGAACTTGATCTTTCTGTGCAGAAAGATCAGTGACATGACATGCCTGTCAAATTATTATTCCTCGTGACAGTCACCCTTTGAATGTGACCTCAGCTGCAGAACAGATGTTTGCTCTAATACCATCTGTGAAGGTCAGGTGTAGTGGCTAACTCTGACCCATTCATGAGAAGCAGACAACTGGGAACTGGGATCACTGGGTGGGGATGGAGGTGGGTCATCTGGCAATGAGACAGCTGTAATCATAGTAGGGGACACTCCTAACCTGAGGGTGTATGGCCTCATAGTCTTAGATGAGCACCTCAGATGGAATCCATACAGAATCAGTGATAGGTTTGGCCCAAGGTTAGAATGATTTCTCTAGAGAGGGCTATGGGATAGATGCCCAAATAAATATACTTATTAGGAAATGTGAGATTAGAAAGGGTAAATGGCTTGGAGGGGAAGCTTTAGAAGTGTCTTTCTGATCCCTCTGCCCCATAATCCTCATCTGGGCTCATTTTCTCGCTGGTGTCCTGGAGGGTTAGCAGTGTTGGAAGTCTGACTATAGTTAAGCAGAGTGAGACTGTCTAAACCTAACTTTAAAAAGATAACATCACTCAAGAAAGACTTTTCAGGTGAGTATCAGAATTTTCAAATATAATTTTTATGTTTCATTTTCTTTTTCTTAATGACCCTTCTTTTTCTTAATGACCTTGGGTGATCTGTATTTCTGAGGGTGTTCTCTGCCACAGAGTAGCTTCCTGGCATTAGTGTGGCTTGCAGCTCACTCTCCACCATTCACCAAATGCCTCTTATCCCTTGTTGACCTACCTCTGGGACTAAAGTGACATTTGGGTTTTCTGTAGTTTTCACTTTTGGGGATATGCCCTTTGTAAGTCAAACCACATTTTGTCATGAGCCAGTAACTCTTGGTTTTTGGTTGTCCAACTACATAATCACCATGACTGTAACCGTCAGATTCTAAGCTGATACTTTCATTCTAGTTATGATATATACTTTTTGAGTACCCTAATGTAGCTCAAACCCTTCAGCAGCAACCTGAATTTTTAAATTAGTACTTTTAAGAAATTGTGACTTTCCGAAGAACCTAGATTGTTGTCTCTAGAGTATAATAAAACATTTATTTAATCTCTAACAGTTCTTTGAATTTCCAGTCTCTCAATGTAAGACGTATAACTTATAGAAATAGGTTGTCTTATATTTTAAAGTGCAGCTCAAAGAGTACAATATTAGTTATAAAAGTGCAGATTTATTAACTCCATCTGATACAGCACTTCCCTTTATGAGTTTCATATTAAACCCACAAACTTATCAGTGCAGGATACTGTGGGTTAAACATTTACACAGCAAGACAGTATCTGAGAAAAAATCCTTTCTGGTACTCTATGGCATGTGGTCACAAAGATAGCAGCTTCTACTCTGTAGTAGGAAGAGACTCCATTTCTTTACTTGTGCCCTTCTGTAGAGGACAATAACTAATAATCTACTTTAAAAAGAAATGCTGTGTACATCATAGTCATCCAGCACAAGTAGCCTACAGCAGTGAGGCAGCCAGCACACAGGTACTGGAGTTTGCTACCTGGTTCCACAGCCCTGCAATGCCACTTCCCAGCTACTAATGGTGGGTGCTTCTTAACCTAATTAAACTTCAGTTTCTTTTTCATGAGTAAAAAGGGGATGATACCACTTACTTCACAGAGTTGTTGTGATAACAATAGTACCTTCTTGCCTGTCTGGCAAAAAAGGGTGAATTTAAAAATTAATTATATAGTATTCAGCAAAAAAACACAGACTCATTAGAACCAGTGAGACCACGTTGAAAGGTACCTCAGAGATTTTCATTTTATAAAAGAAGAAATTAGGTCCAAATAGGGAAAGTGACTTGCAGTTTGTAGAGAAAAATGAATCACACCCAAAATGTCCTGAATAAAACCTTATCCACTGTGTTCTTATATTTAGAACCCTATATTCTTCTAAGTTACTTTACAGTGGTAAAATTCTGCCATTTTTAAAACAGAGCAGCTTCACTGATCTAATGTTAGCACAATGAGGTACGAAGGACGTGGCAGAACTAGGCAAGGGTAGATTTCAGAGCTTGTCCTAATTAGGTAATACCTGGCCCATTCAATAGACCACATCAGAAAATGCAGCAGAAAATGGGTTTGATCCATTTAAAAAGAGAGACATGCCCCTGAGGCCAAACACAGGCAAAAGAAAATGTGAGGGCAGGAAGGTCTCATTTCTTTTTCTTTCTTTTTTTTTTGAGATGGAGTCTTGCTCTGTTGCCTAGGCTGGAGTGCAGTGGTACCATCTCGGCTCACTGCAACCTTTACCTCCTGGGTTCAAGCAATTCTCCTGCCTCAGCTTCCCTGGTAGCTGGGATCACAGGCGTGCGCCACCATGCCCGGCTAACTTTTATGTTTTTAGTAGAGATGGGGTTTCACCATCTTTGCCAGGCTGGCCTCAAACTCCTGACCTCGTGATCCACCTGCCTTGGCCTCCCAAAACGCTGGGATTACAGGCATGAACCACCACACCCGGCCCTAATTTATTTTTCTTATAGGGTAGCACAGGAAACTGTAGTAGTAACTTTATCACGATTTCAGTGGGGCAGGAGAAAATGTTAAGTAAACATGATTACTTGTTTATCTGGCATAAATGCGGATTAATTGAAAAAGCATATTGGGACCAAAATGTAAAAATATAAGGTAGACAACTATATGCCAAGTGAAAGTGTGGCTGTCTGAATCCTAGAAACTCTTTCAGGGATGGAATGTCAGGGTCAGGCAGGCTTTTGCAATGTACCAGTTATTTGTCATTACTTGGATGAGAATCCAGACAGTATTTGTCTCAATTTACTGATGACCTGAATCTTGATGGCACAGAAAATATTCTAGGTAAGAGTCAAGATCCAAACATTTTGAAAATATGGAACTAACTCTACTAAGATACAAATTTTAGTAAAGCTAAATATAAATAATGAGCCTTTAAAAAATCAGCCTCCAAGGAGATGCGGCCAAAATGTTACATGAATAAGACAACCTTTGGTAAATGGCATATAGTTAGTATGAGCTGACAGAGCAATGCCCACCAAAAATGCTTTTTTATTAGTCATTAGAGGAAGCACTGGTACTACTCTGGAGATTTGTTTTCAGGCATAGACACCTCACTTTAAAAACATCAAACGGGCACATGTGGGGAGGATTAGGAAGGTAAAAGTCTAGAAATCAAGAGCAAAGGTTGACAGGAGACGGTGCTGAGGAACATGAGACCTGACTTTAAATACCTGAAGAGCAACCCTTCAGCAGAGCAATTGGACAATTCTTTGACTAAAGGTGGCAGAATTTGTATAATGGGTAGAAGAGAAACACAAATTTCAGTCTAAAACACAAAAAACTTCCTAATATCTGAAGATTACGGAGTTGGAAAAGGCTTCCAGAGGCTTCCTGGAAAGGCAATGAACTTGCATTTGTTCACAACAAATGTTCAGGACAACTGCTTATCTGTTTGTGGCCTGGGAAACGTTAGGTAGTGATTATGTTCAGATGGGATGAAATAGAAATAAGATGGGATGATTTCTAGGGTTAATTCAATCTGAACTTATATAGGCCAGGTAGAAAATTGCTTTTCCTAACTACACAATAGGAGAGCTAAAATCTTAGTGTGGCTAGCGATTATTGAAATGTATCATGTAAGACAGAGTTAAACAGGTCTAACCTTCAGTCATTTCAGAGTCCAGACAGCTACAACCTTGCTTTCAGTGTGGGAGTCACAGGCAGGGGTGTAATCAGTATTTGTCCACATGCTCTTCACTACCAGAAAGAGTACTCAAGCGTACAAAGTGCATCCTGTTTGTTTTGCCGAGCATAGCGTGCTGGAAACAAAGATTAAATAGAACCAACATGAAATAAATAACAATTTCTATAACAATGCATGGTTGTGGTATTGTTTTATTTTTCCCCAGCACATCTTAAAAATCACACATGGGCATTTGCTTATAGAACAGTACAGTCTAAGAAAACCAGTAAGAGGAGAATCTGAACATACACTGAAAGCATGGAATATTGACTATGTGTTGAGCCCTTGTGGAAAACAGTATGGCTTAGTCGGAATTGACAAAGCTATGCTGGAATCTCTCAGGAATTTTCCTTCCCACTGCATATCCCCTTTTAGACCATGAATGTAAAGAGAAGAACTGTTTGTATGCATTAGTTACAGCAATATAATGGCTTACATACAAGTGCTTACCCACATGTAGTTCCCAAAGGATTACTACAGTACTGGCAGGAATATGTACTGCCTTGGAGGAAGACTCAGGATAAGATATTATTCAAGTCAAGTTGTATCAGAGCCAAAGTATTTCAAAAAAGGACTTAGCAAAAAGGACAAAAATTAATATAACCTACATATATTTCTCACAAGATTTAATCATCGTCCAGGAACAGAAATATTCGTTATTCTGAAGGCACCATCACACAAAAAAGGACTGACACACAATATTAGGAATAAAAACCACCTGCCTCCCCACCTCCACAGGTTCTGCTCCTCAGAGAGCTTGTGAGCAAACATCCAAAAAGAATGCAGTGAGCGTCTTGAGGCTCAATGCCACATCCATCAAGCCACAACTTAGGGCTACTAGGTTGGTTCAGTAGAATGAAAATGTAGGAATGAAAAGCAACATACAAATCCCATTGACTGATTAGATGTGTATCAGAGTACAGGTCTACCATACAATTAGTTAAATATACTAGAACAGATTATCCAAAACAACACTGTGGAAAGAATTACCAGTGTTTTCACATACAACTAAATTCCTGACATGTTCTCGAAGAGGAAGAGCCTTGAACTGCTGAACAACCTCTGTCTAAAGACATCCTCTCCCACTCATTTAAAATAATGGCTATTTCATGGAAAAAAAAAATCCCAACAAGGCACTATGAGCTTTTAGGGATACAGTATAAGTAGCTCAAAAGACAACTACTTATAGAAACTTGTATGCCAGTATGAGCATTTCATCTCCTTTTCTGATATGTGAACAAGATTACTTTAAAGGAAAAACATGTTTCCTAGGGTGCTTGTGGTGTTCAGGAAAAACATGGCCAACAATAGATTGTCTTAAAAACATGTATGTATGCTGCTTAGAAAGCCACCATAAAACAGATTTTTTTCCTTTTCTTTCTCACTCAAGAGTTGGAATTCAGAGTCTCTGTACAATGTTTTTCCTTGTGGAAAAATAATCTCCTTTGGAAACCAAAAAAGAAATCTTTTCATGTTCACAGAACTAAAGTTACTAATTTCTGTGATGATTCTTTGGCTTGAGTGTTCTATATATCAGTGGTCCTTACTCTGATTTGTTAAGGAATTGTGATTAGAAGAGCACAAGAGTGTTCAATCTTTGAGGATCTTCCAAAGTTCAAAAGGGAATGCTTCAGGTTCACAGGAGTCTCAGTGCCTCCTGAAAATATAGCATTGCTTTTAAAAAAATGATTAGAGATTGACAAAACCTAGCTAACAATATCCTCAGCTATAAATCCAAAGGGATTTAGTCAAAAGTAGGTTGCACTTGATTATGCTACAAGCAACAAAATTATCAGAATGAATTTTGTGTTTTCAAATCAGTGGAAATATGAACATGAAAAACTAAAGTTAAAAGAAAAACCCATATGCAAACAGAATAATAAACAGCTTCACACTCCCTTTGAAGAAAAAAAAATCTTAGACCCAGGTCCATTTTATTAATAATATGTACTATAATCTCTTGACATTACAAGTAGTTTTTACAGTTAAATTTCACACTGAAGACAAACACTGATTGGCTTAGGGAGCAGAAAGCTGAGTAACTTATATCCTTTATATCAGACACTATATTTTAACAGTTTAAGAAAAGCTTTTACACTTTCTGGATTTAAGCATCAATGTGTAAGTTGTTTCCTTTACAGGAAACTGAAATTACTAAGAATTAAGTGACTATACTGACATATGGCTCATTTGGGAACATGAAGCCTAGGGCAAAGCCAAGCTTCTGTAAATCATAAAGTCAAAGCTAAAACATTCTGGATTCTTCAAACAAATGGGCACTTGTTATTTTCCACTTTTCTTCTACCATGAGCTAAGCCCTAACTAAAATCAAAGTTGATAAGGATTAAGTGGTAAACAAAAAAAATTATTAAAGCTGTCTTTAACTCCTGTCTCAGTGTTTTAAAAAATGTAGATATGCTTTCCATAGCATTCCATTTTGGCTGCCTCATGCACCAGCACCTGCAGTGAATCAATCTGTAGTAAGTAACTGTGTTCTAACATTTATATGGAATAGTAGTTCAACCAAACCCGGCCCCATTTGAACAGCCAAGGGAACACACTTCAGTGTAGACCTACAGAGCTTCTCTGATAAGCTACAGTTAATATAAAAGAATATGACAAAGGAAAGTCTGGGTGCCAACATGCCGAAAGCCATTTTCAAAAACGCAAGCTAGGACTTAGCAGTTACTAACAGACTACTCTGTAGGGGGAAAAGGTTTCCTTGCAACCATCTGTATCTGGTATAATATACACACCGATGGAAGCTCATCCTTTACTGCAATTTTGTTTTCAAAATACATCAATATAGTTATGCAAACTAGAAGGCTTCCAACCTCATAAATAACTTTTAAGTAATAGTACTATAATATCTAAGTACTTTTAGGAAGAAAACTCCTACTTCCTTAGAAGAAGAAATAATATAATCCTCTTTTTTCTTTGTGTAAAATGATGGGCACAATAAACACGTGGCTTCCACAATTCTTACTAAGCTAAAAAAGCTCAAGTTACTTATCATAAGACTGAATTGACTTATGTACTACTAGAAATTGCACGAAACATTAAGGCAACAGTTTTTTAAGGATCAAATAAAGCCTGTTCATATTGAGTCTTTAGTATTCAATGCCATTTCTCACTAGTGGCAAGTTACCATTCTCACTGAAACCCCAACCCAAATGTGACATTACCAAATTTAAATAAAATATTGCAAATATGACTAATTTAAGAAAGTCAGTGTTATGCAGTACTGAAAACCAAATAGGCAACAGGTTTTTAAAATTTAAAATAAACATTAAAAATGAGTTAAGAAGCATCACGTAGTGTTCTCCTAACTTTTATGAAGTCATTTTAAGATACTATAGAAATAAGAGATATGGTTTAAGTGCTTCTGTGCATATTCATGAACTCAGTCCTCCACAGATACTAAGTCTATACTGAGGCACCTCCCAGAAGTGGGTGTGTAAAAGTTGGGCTGGGGATGGAGGGAGGCTTTCTGACTTATTAAATCAGAGCAAAACAGTACCGATGAATGTTCTTGTGTTTCAAAATGATTTCGGTAGAAGTTATTCCACCTGCAAGATGGAGTCACCATTATAAAATCAAGATTGGGGAGTCCTGCATATACATGGAAAAAGAAAAACAAAGATATAAATCATGAATTTCCTAAGGTTCATGTAGAATAGTGAACACAATAATTTCAGGTGTTACATTTATAGTTTCCTAATATCAAGCACAGATTTCTGAGGTTATTGAAATTGAACTCCCTGGGAAAGAATGTTATTAACAATCACATGCAAAGGAATGGATCTGCTTAAGAACCTGTTTTATTTTTTCAAAATTACTCAGAAACATATTATATATATACTTCCAGTAAGACATTAGTACCTTCTTTAATTTTATATTTTGATCACCAATTAGAGAAATTACCTTCATGAACATTTGCATGTCATAAAGCTGAGACTTTTATATTTCTAGAGGCAACTTTCTCATCAAGTGTCCAACTAGGTTAAATATCAAGGGCTTAAAGCAAAGATCTACTGGAAATTTTATAATTAAAAAATAAATCACCAATGAAGAGAGGCAGCTTCTAAAAAATAAATAATTCATTTTGCTGTTAAACATATTTAATTCTAATTTAATTACAGATTTATTAATTTGAGGCCAATTTTAATAGTTAAAAATTATCATTTTGAAGTCTTAAAAATATCATTTTGTCAATTTTAAATTATTATTTTTCTGGTTAAGGCTACTTCTGATATAAAACGTATCAAACGGCCCAAAAATACTTTGGAACTGTTGCTACATACACAGACAGTGCATCCTTTTAAAGGATTGTCTGCATTTTGACTTACATTATCTGATCAAGTATTAGTTTTAAAAAATTATCAAAAGTTAGGTATTGCATTAAGAAAAGAATCCATCTCAAAATGTGAATCATGAACCTTGGCAGACAGTGATTCAAAGTAATCATTTCACTTTAATATCCAGATTTGAATGTACAAATGCTTGCTAAATGTGATTAATGTTCTCATTATTTAAGAAACAGGATATTTCAAACTTTTTCTTATGGTATATGCACTAATACATTACATTTAAAAAAAATTTAGGTTAAACCAGTTATTCAAAAAAGGCATTAAACCATTATTAAAAGCTAAATTGAAACTTTACTTTTTATATGAAAACTTATCATGCCATTGGGGTTAATTTTTTAAAAGCAAAAATAATATTTGTCATTGAAACTGTTGAGGCTTTCAAATTCAGTAGCTGAATGATTACTGTTTCTTTAGCCAAACAATTCTTACAACTGGAGACATTAAATGTAAGGAATCTTCCTTCTGCTCATGCTGTAGCTGCTGCTTCTGCATCTCAGCAACAAGAACGTGAAATCAGAAACACTGGGACTCAATGTTGAATAAAGGCATTCATTTCATGGTAAACCTGTTCTTCACTTGCAATGAGGGATGTCAGCTTTTCTTACAAAACATATTATCAATGAATTAGAATATAACAATAGGTTATCTCAGTGATACAAATACAACTCATATTTCACTAGAAACAGAAATATGGAGAACAAAAACATGTCCCTTAACAGAATAATTTGTATATTGATGATTTAAGGTTTTATGCATGTATACTAATTTCAAAGAAAAACATAGGCCAAGCACCTTACAGAAGTGAAGTCTTTCTAAATAATAGGTTGCCTATATTCTTTCACAAATATCCTTCCCCTTAATGGCCTACTCACACTAGAATATGCTCTTAAACAATGGACATGTGTATCACTCCTCAGTGGAATCATTCCCTAGACATCTGCTTCCCAGAAACGTTCTTTTAAAAAGAGGCTAGCTGAGCAATCACTGATACCAAAATCTGCCTTTGTCCCCCAAGAGGAAGCATCAGTACAAAACAGCTGGCAGCAGCTTCCTCTGGAATAACTGGCAGCCTTGTGCTGCCTAAAATCTAAAATGACAACCAGTTGGCTGTAAAATGACATACCTACAATGAGAGAGATTTAGGAATACCATCTGTCAATCCATAGATGTAGAAACAAAACAAGCTACAGAATGAAACAAACTTATTTTAAACCAACAAACAAACGTATCCAAAATATAGTCCATGATATATCTGATTACTGGTATAACCACAGTTGAAAACTTAAAAAAACAGTGATATTTTTTGTAATGATACTAATGGATTTATAAAAGGTTTCTGTTTCCAAAGATGTTATTGGGGTCCACATATTCCTTGACAGACTTCAGCATCCCAAAGCCGACATCAGAGATACTTTCCTTTAGCCATTGCTTCCGTAACTTGCCCACTGGAAAAACAAAATCAAAAATGCTTCAATATATGCTATGATGCTGGGAACCAATCAATCTTGTGACCATGAGTGAACAAACACTGTGTGATAAATGCTTTTATTCAAAAATGAGAAATGTTTTGCTTTATTTGATTTATTGAGCCCACCAGACTATCAAGCTCATTAAGCCCAATGTATTCCCAGGGGAAGTCTGTGCTCCACAGTGTCTCCTTTCTCTGTAAACTATGAAATGGAGATTGAAGGAAGCTTGGACGGAGATTATAGCCCACTTTACAAATAACAAAATGAGAAAAAAGTGCATTTCAAAAAAACCCACCTCTGCCTTAACTACCACAATGCACCCAAGTTTTAGAGAAAACGAAGTTAACTAAAGAAAAACATCATACTGAGATGAATTTGTTGGGTAAATTTAGCAAAAATGACAGGATATATATCCTTAAAATATTTTTAGAAACATAAAGGCTTAAAAAAATAAGAAAATTTGAAACTTTAATAGGCTTAAAAAAAAATCTGGCTATAAAGCTTCTATTTACATTTTCTTTTCACAGTACTTTTAAATAAATTTGCATGTTCCCAAATAATGGTTACTTTCTTTCTACTATTTTTCCAGATTTAGATTTTCTTTTTCCTAAGGCATTTAATAAATCAAATACCAAATCCATCGTAAACTTAATCTTTTGCTCTTACATACTGTACAAAGTTCCCTTTTTTTGTTTCTAAGTTTTGCTAATTTGTTCTGAGAATAGTGAAGCAACATAATGATTAGCAGCATAAATTACATTTCAAAAGGTACTCAATGAAAAACATAACCTTTCTAAGTAGAACTTTTGTAAGAAAGAATATGTACTTAATCCGTGAAAGAATTCTGAAATGTCAAACTTGCTCTGGCATTACAAAGCAAAGCAATATGCTAATTTATCTGTGGCAAAATAGATAAATCTTTTAATTTACAGTTAGGATTATTTGTAGTTGTACTTTTCCAAAAAACCCATTATTGTAATAATTGAATTCAAATGGTCATTTTCCACAAATGTTCATTAATGATCCAAAGTAATCAACAGTGATTTAATTGACCAACTGAAATGGGAAGCCTTCTTTCATTAAAGTATTCAGCCTGTCATTCTAAAATGCATTCCCATTTATCAGGCTGTAGTGATACATCATAGCATCTGCCTTTTGGAAACCTTAAATACCATTTTAAGCTCAACTGAAACCACCTTTTGTGTCCAGTTCTCCAAGAAACCATCAAATTGTCATCAAAATAATAAATACTATGATAACCTGATAACCTCAGAAAGCAAATTATCTGCTTGGCTTTCAGAAACAAAAAAAAAGGTTACTGATATTACGATGGGGGAAACAAGGTTCAGCAGAAAAAAAAACCTTAAATTCAAAATGAAAAATTCTGTTTGAGATAGCTCTAAAACCGGAAGGTAAGAAGTACAAATTCCTACTCACGCAATTTCTAAAGATATTCTACCAGGACCTTCTAATATGTCCTAAGGGACTGACCATGACTATGATTCAGTCTGTTTTTTCACATGCAAATGGACTGGACTCTAGTCTTTTCAACTCTAATATTCTATGATTTAAAGCACTTTTTAAAAAAGTTAAAAGTCAGATTTTTCTAGATTTGCTCCACAGGATTTTTTTTTAAAAAACAGCTATTATGTGAGTGGTAAAAGTGGCATTACTATATTATTATGAGCTGCTCACACTGAAGCAGCTGAAGAGAGAGGGGTGAAGAGAGCAGTCAATGCCAGTCTCCACTGTTATCTGTAATATAGTTTCACTGAATGTATCCTGTGGTTATGGATGTAATTGTCCTGAAAAGACTGCAAACAACTGCTCCAACAAGATGGAGCACATTAGAACCTCAGCAGGATGCCCAACAGCTAGCTTGTCTGCCTGGTTTTACACCTCTAGTAATAATGCAATTCCACAAGGAACTGAACCATCATCTGAGAAGCCACCCAACAGCCACTGCATATTTAATGAAGTCACTCACCAAGCGCTAGAAAACAGAAGGTGCTTGGAGTGCATCATTAGTTCTGTCAGAGAGATAATTTACACATCTATCTTGTCAAATTTTCTATGGTTTATACTTTTGCAATAATCAATCTAACATACATTTGATTAGTGAACTAGAAAGTAAAAAAAAAAAAAAAAAAAAAGGCAGTACAGCTAACAAAGCTGTGGCCCCTCATAAACACATTTGATGAAAGCATTTAACCCCTTCATGGCAGAGGTCTGGGGCTTCTTCTGCCACTGATAACAGAATTTGAACTGGGGTCAGAAATCTTGGTTTATGCAATTAAAGGTACTAGAAATCTTTGGCTTTGTTTAATAATTTAAGTCAACTGCTTCAAAGAATACAGACAGAAAACACATGCAAACAAAAACAGTCAATATGCCTTAACAACAAGACAATTACTGGAGTCTTCTTGAGATTCTGGAGAACCTTATGTAACTACCTCACATGGATCAATAAAACAACAAACCACCACAGGCACTACTCTTAGAGAAGGAACACACTTCAAAGTACAAGATTTTTATTCCAGAGCTAAATACCACCATTAATAATGCCTTTTGTACAATTCTTAGTTGTACTGCTAGGCATTCAGAAATTAGCTGACTACACTGATCTGTACCCATTTAACACATGGGTATATAACTATATAGCAGTTTCTTATTAAACACCTGTAAAGCTCATTTTCAAAAAGGGAAGAAATTATACTCTGTTCCTTTTATAGCATGCCATATTAAAGGAAGGGAAAATGAATGACTAAAGACAGTAAGTAACAGGTGGCCTAAAACTATTTCGATTTACCTTGTATGTGATAGTTATCTACTGAAAGGCATGTGTGCACATACCACATAAAGTCTATTCTTCTTTTTAGACCTGAATCATCTGATGTAGGGTATTCATAGCTACTGACCCAACACATTTCTTTGACTTCTGATGCTCTACAAGTATAAATCTAGCCTAAGAGTCAACACCAGAGCTACAAAAAGCCAAGATCATTATTTCTGAAAACAAGATAAGTCCCTTATATTCCATAATTCTCTACTGTTCTAAATATATGATTCTTTAAGTACTTAAGTATTTAGATATATTTTATATGACACAAAAAAGATGGGCCAAATACTGAATATTACAGAAACCTAGGCCAGGCACAGTGACTCATGCTTGTAATCCCAACATTTTAAGAGGTGGACAAGGTGGGAAGATCATTTGGGCCCAGGAGTTCAAGACCAACCTGGTTAACATAATGAGACCTCATCTCTAAAAAAAAAAAAAAAAAAATTTTTAATAAAAATAAGACGATGGCACTAAAAAAAAAAAAACACTTCAAAGAGCAATTATGAACAAATTTTTAAAATACAAAGTCTCAGTAAAGAAATAGAAAGTCTCGGAAAGAAAATGAAAGATATAAGGAAAAACTAAAAAAAAAAAAAAATTAGAACTAAATAACTAAAATTATTAATAAAATTATCTAAATAAAAAACTAAAATTAAAAAAATAAAAATAGGCTGGGCATGGTGGCTTACACTTGTAATCCTAGCACTCTGGGAGACCGAGGCAGGCAGATCATCTGAGGTCAGGAGTTTGAGACCAGCCTGGCCAACATGGTAAAAACCCGTCTCTACCAAAAATACAAAAATTAGCTGGACATGGTGGCGGGGGCCTGTAATCCCAGTTACTTGGGAGGCTGAGGCAGGAGAATTGCTTATACCTGGGAGGCGGACACTGCAGTGAGCCAAGATCGTGCCACTGCACTCCAGCATGGAAGACAAGAGGGAAACTCTGTCTCAAAATAAATAGATAATAAGCTGGATGTGGCGGCATATGTCTGCAGTCCCAGCCACTCAGGAGATTGAGGCAGGAAGAGAACTTGAGCCCAAAAGTTTGAGGCTGCTGTGAGTCAAGATCATGCCATTGCATTCTAGCCCAGGTGACAGAACGAGACAAAAGAAGAAAGGAAGGGAGAGAGAGAGAGAGAAAGAAAGAAGAAGAGAAAGCAAGAGAAAGAGAAAGCAAGAGAGAAAGAAAGAAAACTGATGGTGGGGGATTTTTTCTGCTTAAATTAAAAATGGAGTTCACCTTTTAACAATTTAATTTCTAATAATGTATATACAGGCTGGATAAAACAAGTTTTATGTGTTCTTCCACACATGGTACATTTTTAAAACTTTACTTTTGGAACAGAGAATATGGAAGCTTTCAGATATAGTTTTTCAAATTATAGGCTTACTATTCCCCTGGATATTAAGAGATTCAAGAAAGAATGTAAGAAAGAAACTGTGGTATGATCGACAGCATAAATGAATGAACAGGCATGTATGCAAGGGATAAGAGGTAAAATGATGTGCATGGAAAATGTGGACATGGAGGCCAATCTGGCAACCAAAAATTATCTGGAACTACTCCTTGAAGCTTAAGAGATTGAAGATTTAGCAGAAACTACCAAATAGTCCTAACCTAAAGGGGATAAATCCAGGGTCTGCTGGTCACAGAGGTCTCTAGCTAGGTGAATTTTAAATTTTTAAATCATACATATGATTATAAGTCAAAAGGAATTATTATACACTTATTAAAAAGAACAAATTATGAAATGGGCCATACATTTAGAAGATTATTGAAAGTGAACCTCAGAAGTAGACTTCAGCCAAAGCAAAAAGCACCTAACCATTATAACAACTATATTTTGAAAGTTCTAGTTTGAGTATCCTGAATATCTCTTTAGCACTATTCTATAGGTCGGATTTTAAAAAGAAAATATAGACTTAGCTGCTTATATGAGTGATCCGAGCACTAACTTTGTATTTCAAGATTTAATTACTCTGACCAAACTACTGCTGGATTTTATGTAAGAAAGTAGTGCTAGAGGGACACCCAGCCTCTTCCCAGGATTAACTGTTTGCTAATCACATGAAACTAACTATAAAAAGTATTCTGTAAACAATGTAATAATGTAATGCAGGTATTCTCAGAC